TCTTCTGTAACAGATTACGTGTGACGCGCTATCAAATGCCTTTTTCGAAGTCAGAAATGTAACATCTATTGGATGATCCGTGTCTGTTGCCTTCGTCCATTTCTCATGCAAGTAAAGAACACTAGTGTGGCAAGAGCCTGCTTGACGAAGACCGTGTTGGACATAAAACAGTATTCTGTTTTTTGTCCATGTATCCGATTAAAACCGATTAAGCATCTGAACCCTAAATTAAATCCAACAATTGCATTAGCGTTCACAGAGAGACAGGAGTGCAAATGCCCTCATCGCCCAACAGAGAAGGAAGACAGGTACAAATATGTGGAGAGCATGTCAAGCTTTATTGTGTGCATTCATTTTGAGGTTTATGGGCGAAGCCCTATGCAAACTTATTGTTGTACATTTCAGGTTGTATATGCAACTGTATACATTCGGCACAAAATGTAGTTATTTTTCAAGTTTGCGTTAACATTTTTCCCCAAACCTGCAGGGATGATTTGCACGGGATATAAAATCAGGAGATGAAGCTCACGACCGGTCGTAGATAATTAAGCGGTAAGAGCCACTGTTTATCAGAAACCAAACAATCCAACCGCTTCGTAATACAGTCATGACAGAAAATGTCAATGCAGCATTTGAAAGTGAGTTTCACGGCCAAAGTACCAGCTGACTGAAAAAACCTTCCGTTGGTCTAGGCGTGTACATTTGCGTTTTACCTTGCACAGGTTACCACGCAGGTGAGGTATATTTGCGAACTCGAAAAAATTGTCGGATTTGAGCGAGCAGTCATGCCTGCGGATAATGCAGAATGTCCAGCAGGGTTTACATCTCATTTTTTATTGGCCACGGGAATAAAATGCAACTTTAAAAGTTTTATAAGATATGACGGGGCCTTAAGACTCTCCACCGATTTAGCCGCTTGTCATTACACTTGCTTGATGGGGTCACTGCCCTTCTCCAACCGGCGTTCTGTATTCTAAATATGGTCTTACAAACGTATCAAAGATCCGCGCGATGAGTTAAGAGGAAAGACTACGTAAATACACCTTATCCAGTGCATACTGCTTGTTGCTTTTGGGCGACTCTTTTGCAATGTTCGGCTGGCAGCATGTTCTCACTTATCCATATACCTAGGTCTTGGTGAGCATACGCCTTTCGTTGCAATCCAGTCATAGTTTACTGGTGTTTTGAGAAACGCCTCGGACTAGATTCCAAGCACAAGACCCACATTTTGACACGTAAGACGTTAGAAGCCACCTGCTGGACCAGGCAGCCAGATTAGTAACGTTTTCCCACTTTCTCTCCATAGGTACCCATCTGGTTGCTATGGTACCAAAACTTTCCCTTCGCAGCGTGCATGGCAGGAATCTTTAATGCCGCTTATAAACGTCGCTCTGGATTCCGCACTGCCAAATCTTCTGCAGGCGTTATCGAGGAGGCACGATATCAAGCGTCTTTTTAAAGTCGAGGAAGATTATATTCACTGGGCGATCCTGATCCATGGCTCTTGCTCATTTTTCTTGAGAGTAAAGACTATCCTTAAGCTATGAATGACAACGACGAAATCCGTTCGGGGCAGATCACATAATAACTTTCTCTGCTTCAGGTACGCCATCAAATGCCCCTTAGTAAGTCGCTCCAAGATCATGCACAGCTGCAAGTTAAAATAAGGGGACGGTATTTTTCTGAATCCAGCCTGAGCCCTTCTTAGTTGATCGGGGCATATAGAGAGGTTTCCACTCCGCCGGCATTTCGTCGTCTTCCATGGGCTTTTGAAATATCAAAGAGAGCGGCCCGCACTATAGGTCGACTAATTCTTGAAGCACACGTAGATTAATTCTGTCTGGACCACAAGATTTTGCAGGCCTCAATCGGAGTAGTTCTGTTTCAGCCAATGTAGGCGAGAAGTAGAGATTATGATGGATGGAAGAGAATATGTGCATTCCACGTTCTTATTTAAAAGAAGACGAAGACGCGAACATAGGGACTGTAGTTTTATTGGTCTTAGCTGTCGAACTCGAGCAGGAGTTCATCATCAGAGACTGTTAAAGTGCAGCAACGGGTTAAAATTTATAACACGGTATGCCACGTTTATGCAACGGTATAAATGTTCCCACGCAGCTGCACACTAACAGCCTCTGACGATGTACTCCTGCCCGCGTTCGAAAGCTAAGACCAATAAAGCTACTGTCTCAGCGAACGTGCTTTCGTCTACTTTTAAAGTAGACTTTATCTCCCGATGCGGACGACGCCGAATTTTGATGTTGTTCTGGGTTGGAGAGAGGCGGAGGATGCGTTTCATGAGTGAATGTCGACTGAAAGAACCTAGAATGAACTGATGCTTTCGTTTGGTCTTCCGTCTTCCTTACTCCATTCGGAAATCCCAGCGCCGGAATCCTGCCACAATTTCTTTCGTTATGGCCGATGAGAGGAACTTACAAGAAAATCCTTCTCGATTGGACGAGTGGTCCTGCAGCTGGCTCTTGTTCTTCAATTTGAAAAAAATGTATCATACTGCGTCTCGGAAATCAGACTCCTAGGACGCGGCAATACCATCTGAACGGAATGCCACTTCGAGAAGCAGAAACGCAGAAAGATCTCGGAGTCTGGAATGCAGGCGATCTAAAGACTTCTACACAATGTTGTAAGGCGGCAAAGGCCGCAACCTCAATGCTATAATCCATCAAGCGTGCATTCGCAGTTTTTGGAGAAGACTGCTTCCCCAAAGTCTTCGGCAAACTTGTAAGGCCGCATCTCGAATATGCAATCCAAGCCTGGAGACCGTGGACGCAGCAGGATTACGATTTGCTCGAAAAAGTGCAGCGGCGAGCAACAAAATCAATAAGTGGTCAAGGTGCACTGCCATACGAGAACCAGCCTAACTAACCTTAATCTCTATCCTCTAAGTTATAGGCAGTTGTGCGGAGACTTGATACAAACTTTCCGTATAGTTCGTGGCTTGGACTGCGCCCTTCGGTACGGCAACTATTTCTAACTTGCCACTACAACTAACCTTCGGGGACATTCCTTCAAACTACGTGTGCCCAGGGTAGATTGAATGTGAGAAAGTATTTCTTCTCCAAACGTGTTGTGGAACCGTAAAATAACCTGTCCGAGACGATTGTCATGTCTCAATTTGTGGAGACATTTAGTTGCTGGCTTGAAAGACATATCTTGCAGCAACATGCGGACTATGCGAATTTTTAGCCATGAGACCAGTGACCTATGGGAATCAATGTCTGCATTCACTTAATGCTGTAATTTATTCACATGTTTGTTTATTTTACCAATTTTTAATGCACAAATAGGGAGTTCAAAGGCATAAGTCTACTGCCCTCAAATACACTGACGGACCTAATAGGCAGATGAACTGTAGCCTACCTCGGAAATCCCAGATTGTTCGTGGTCGGATTGTGCGCACTGAGACCGGAGGAACTGTTTGAATTCGCCTGTACAAACCAATTTCGCTGTCATCCCTGTAAAGTCAAGAGCGAACGCACACCGTTGGATCGTAGGAATTTCTCCTTCAGCCAACAGGTTTTCTGATCTTGTAGGTCGCTACCAAGTCAAAAGGTGACGTTCGACACAATTTTCGCGTTTAATAAAAACTTGCTCGCGTATTTTTTTGTAAAGACCGTCTTTTTCTGCATGAATACTCACATCCAGCTTTGTAAAGCACTGTCATTTACAATGTTTTCGTGCTGAGTCCCAGAGAACAGAAGCGGTTCCTTTTAACTAATGTTAAATCTCGAATTGGCCACATTCTAAATGTTGGCAACATTACATTGCCTGTGAACTTGTGAACGTATTTTACATGAAAAGTGTCGTCAAGTGTTATACCTGTAAGCCCTGAAATAAACATGCAAAGTGCTTATGCAGTTAAACGGGCAGGGTTAATCTATCCAGATCGTGTGGGGGTTGCACTGTAGTCCATGGTTTGCGACGTGAGCTTCAATACAAGAAGAAGGCCAAATAGGAGCAAAAGAAGATCTTCTCCTGAGCGATTTTCGGCCAGGAAGCCGGAGGGGTCACACTTGCTCATGTCTCACTATAGCCCCGCCAGCAGTCCATCAGCTCCCGCCAAAGCTCCCTCTGTCCCCACTGGGCCAGTGGCAGTAGGGTAGGTAGTGGCATGTTACCTCCCATCTCTGCACGTGATGGTGCTTATATATCCATGTAGGCACACGTTAGACTTAAGCGTGAGGCTTATTGATGCCTGAGGACTTCTGGGATTACGAGATAGTCTTTTAAATATGTGCGTTGTAGTTCCTCTGAGAAAAAGCCAAAAATGTCAATCGGGTATTACGGTTTACGTGTCTAATAGGTTGTATTTACGAGCTAATAGAGATTCGCATATTTTTTGAACTTGCTTTTTACAAATTAATCGATGGCATACTGTTTATTACCCATTTCGTTAGTTTTGTACTCCCCTTTCATTAGCAACTGTGGTGCCGACCCGGCGGTAACTTAACGGCTTGCTCAGTGGTTCCGCCGGACTCATCGATGATAACTTGTTTGTTCGTAGTTTTTCTTTGCGGTGTTTTCTACTGTCATTTGTTTTGCCGTGGTCGTCCATTCACAACATTGTACTTTCCCCAACCGCCTCTGTTCTGTGATTCAGTCAGTCCTGCTTGCTCCTGCTTCCTACTTTGGCTGTAACCCTCCTGTTTTTTTGAGCAAAACGTTATAGTGTTAACCTTCGGTCGTATAACCTCGAAGGTCGTTGTAAAAATACGCGATTTCCTTTATAAAAGTACGGCTCGCACTTCTTTTAAGGGAGTCAGGATCTGTTAAATTTAATCTATTAAGTCAACTGTAGACCTCCCCAGCAGATCAGTATTAGGTGTTTTCAGTTTGTCTCATACGCTTAACATCTGTTCAGAGCACTGCAAATATGTATCGCCCTCATCTGCAAGCATGACCACCTGACCAGAATTCAATCCTTAAACTGAGCGTGCGAAATTGAAATAGGTGTGTAACTGTTCGAGTTTGTGCAACCTGCTATGGGTGACCGTTACAATATACATACCCAGCTCGAGCATCTGCAGTCCAAGTACGTGGGTAGGTGTCCTTTTTTCTGTTTTATTATTTCGTAGGCACCGGCCATGCGGATACTGTGAAATGGGAGTGGCTTACGAATCAACACCGAGACAGTTGCGCATCATACCTCGGTCACTTCGACGTGCTTAACTATCTGGCTCTCTGTGAAAGCGAATCGAAGGCCAGGATAAGATTCAATCTGATGGAGCGCATGCTTCAGCCTTGTGGACCCCCTCCAGAACGGCCCGATTCATGACCCTTAGCGTGTTTTCTGCACTTGGGATGTACGTTTTGAAAGTGATCACTTCCAGCAGCGTTTTGTAATAACTTAAATTTCTTGTGAATCTTTCGTATGGTGGCATGCCGGACTTGTCCCTTCTAAAAACGCTGTACCCTGAGTTCGTGTCTTCACCACCAAGATGTTCCAAAGTATTATACCGACCTCATCTTTCCCCAAGTTTGGTGCCCGATCTGCTCTTGGGTTTTGCCAGCTCTTTCTAGTGGCTGGAGGGACACGCTCGCTCTCGAGTAGACTTGAGAATTACTGGCTCTAGTTACTCATGAATTTGTATCTTTTTAGTCGGACCTTTTTACTCAGATCTTCGTTTGTTTCCAGACTCCGTATAGACTTCTTTTTAACTACGAATAGTTTTGCACCAGCGGCCATAGTATACCTGTGTTTACGAAACCTGATGCCTGACAAAAATCTGGAAGTTCACTGTTTTTTTACAATACCTTATGTACGGGCTGTCAGTTTGTCGGTATGGACGTTCTCAACTTGGACGGCTTTTCTCCAGCCTGGTTGAGTGAAGTTATTTTTTGCCCAACAGTGGCCTTGATAATATGCAAACCCCTTGTTTTGAATGTTTGTAAGACTGAATGATGCGGACTTCTGTGTCTGATTGGACACCATAAGTGGCACTCTACCGAAGTGAATAATGCGAGGCATTGTCGCCATCTGCAAGTATTATCATGAAAAGCCAAACGTGACAAGTTGGAACTATGTTTTCTCTCTGTCCTAGTTACGTGGCTGGTGATTATAGGCTGATAAGCCAGGTTGAGGATTCGTCGCTGCCTCGTACTTCAATGCCACTTAACAAGTCCTGTTGCCTGACAGTCAGTGTTAGGCGTCCTGTCGTTGGTGCACATGCTGTCAGTCTTGGCCACCCAGAGAGAATTAGTTTATTGACCCCATCACGGAGAGCTGTTTCAGATAAACAAGATACTTCGCAGCAGAAAATTGTCTCGGTTGTGCACTGCTTTTAAGCATGTAGGCGGACCATCGCATTTTGAGCCGTTTATGTAATATCATTTGGCGACCCTAGATATTCGTCCTATTGTGATATGGGATACGTTAACTTACCAAAGCCAAAACTCATGAACATCCGGGGCTTCCCATGGAGGGGTCCAGCACCTAATCGTACTCGCGGTCTAGTCCACTGGGTAGGTTTATTTCGGTGTCCAGTGTTTATGATCACCAACCCTAAGACCGTGGACCTTTACGAGTGTTGCCAGACTGCATCCATCAATACTTTCAATTGTCGCACTGCATTTTGCATCAATCTATCGGCAGAGGGCTCAGCGCGATGACGGCTGTTTGCCTGTGGTCATAAAACTTACCCCAACGGACCTAATCGTTGTTCTCCAATAACTTGAGATATTTCCTACATATCCACAGCCAAAGTGAAATCTCATTCAAGACGCCGTCGTCAAGAGCACTTCTGATACATCGGTCCGACAGGCTTTATTTAGCCTTTTAATATCCGATATTAGCAGCCTCACCAAAGATAGTTTAAACCATAGACTTGGGACTGCGAGGACTGGTCGGGTGATTACTACTGATAGAGAGGGAAATTGCACTAAGTAACTTTACTATCCCTACGGTAACGCTGAATTTCATAAGACAGCTTCCTTCCTCGCTCCTAGTGCGTGAAGTCAACTTTCAGAAAAGGTATACACTTTGGAACATCAGTTTTGGGTGAAGCTGCCCTATCATGGAAGCTCACATATAGGGACCTTGCAGCAGTACTCGACACCAGCTGAGTTAGGTGGTTTGTCGGCGTCTTTTGACTCTCCTACCTTACTACTGTTCTTGGCCGGCCATGTCACATAACTTGCGTCGCTCTATACGAGCAGGGGACAGTTCGGCCGTGGCGATCGACGAACTCCACCGTGTGTCCACAGGGTGGATGCTGTACCGGTGACTTGTGGGTGAGTTAGTTTATAGCAAAGCGGACTTCCACAGCATCCACCGCACCCCGTCCCTCACACATCAAGCCTAAGTGGCAAGACAATATCGAAACGACAAAGAGTCGGCTCGGACGCGGTTACTGACAAAGCCGAGTGGCCTATATGATTGTCGCACACGTCCTGGTTTCCACAACATGTACCAGGCTTTTGTAAAGGCGGCCCCGATCTGACACTAGCGAGAGCCATGGAGGCTACAGTAGGAAAGGATCACTGAGCGTGACTGTCAGTCATCCAGTCAGTCGCTCAACACCCAGTAGTGACCGTGGGGACGGATTTATTCTGTCAATTGGGGACCTAATAGGCAATATGAAACAACACAGACCTTAAAGTGGCTGGCAGAAATGCAGACCGCAAAGTCGAGTCAGATGCGTTTCCGTGAATTTACTTTTTTTCGAAGACTAAATAATACCCTAAAAGGTTGATGGCACCTCGGGGGGAAGCCTCCAGAAAAGTCTTTCCATGTAGTATTTTTTCGTGGAATGGTCTTTATCCAGTAGCGTTCCCGGTTGCCGTCCGTTTGCCAGTGCGTGTAATAAGTGAAATACGCAGGCCACCACAGAGATTCGCCTTCTGAGTCAAACTGAATGAAGTAGACGTTATTGAATGTCCCCAAAAGCAAAGAAATTGCGAATTCCTAGTAGTGTGGCGCTAACGAATCAGGTAAGTACGTGACTGAACTATACAGACATTAAGCGCTTTAATTGACAGGGTCAGGGCTAGGGACTCCGATTTGTGGAACGCGCTCGGCTAGCTGCATTGTCGCACTAATTGTAAACTGGCGCGTATCGAATAGTTGCTGTACGCCACGTCAAGCATTAAGTCCAGCCTCATCCCCGGGCCTGACCCAGATTTGCCACTGCTATATAAGGAAAAAGGGAAAACAGTGAGGCTGGCCCAATACTTAGATTCCTCTAGAAATGTGACTCGAAAACGTGCTTTTCAAGGCTGTCAACTGATAGAATAACTGGCTGCGGAAACTCGTTAATCTGGCCTTTTTGCCAACTGCTGTCGGAGAACCCAAACCCTTGTATTTGAAGCCAGTTTCGCATGTGTGTGGCGTGAACAAACATTGATCAAACCCACCCTCAATCGTTCTGGCTTCGTATTGTCACTATAATGTGGCGACTAAGAGGGCGAGGTAGTTGGTGTGCAAATTGGCCTCAGTGCGTATTACGCACGTAGGCTAACCTTACGTCCTTCCTCATCTGCAGCTGACGGATTGTCAGACAAGAGAGACAAGTAGGTGATTTTCTGTTCGACCAGCACCAACCGCGTTAGTTCCCGCTATCGTTTCCACTTCGATTGTTCACTCTCGCTTGTACTTGTAAGAGCATTTCTCATAATCGGTTCATCCTGCCCATGTTGCAGGTTCATCACATCACGAATGACAATTTACCATTGCAGCCGTCTTGAACGGACTGCAGACGGTTGAGCCAGTTGGTACGCCAAACCTATGGGCCACAGAACCAGAGATGTGTTCGAGGTCGGCTCTCGCAATGTCTACTCACTTCTTCTATTGGCCATCTGAGCGCCGTCATCAACTGTAACCAGGTTCGAGTGAGATGACACCCCGGACAATTTAGCTTTCGGGTCGACACAGTACATTGCCGACCCGTCTCAATGGCCGAATCAGGTCATAGTTAAGGGGTTGGGCTTCTAACCGACCACATGGTCGTGCGTTGGAACCTCGACCGGAGGCGAGTTCGGAGGATACAACAGACCCCATCGATCATATATTTTTAAGTGACTAGTATCTGTTCGCTCACAGTTTATGCTTTAGTCACACGGATTTTTCTGGAGCAAACCCCATGTACCCAGAGCTTGGTAATCGAACTGATCACACGTCGGCCACAGAGGTTCCATAAAGTTCAGAGAGGGCCGAACACACCTAGTTCGACAGGCAGTCCATTTGACAGGAATTTCACCCAAGACAACAGTTGCCAAGTAGTCGAAGTTTTGCCCTATAATAATTCCGGTCGCGAATCCCTAGGTGATTATTTCAGTTTATTTGATAAGGATGATAGGCAAAGCCTTTGAAAACCCTATTGATTACATGTCAGCTCGTTAGAAATAACTGTACAGTAATAATGAAAATATTCGCTTTGTAAACAGTACTTGATTCATTTGAGTAGCATTTTCACAGAGAAAAAAATGTGGGGAACCTGGGTACTTAGCTCAGATTCAGACTGTCGAGGGAAAACAGGGTACACAAATAATCATCCAAGCGTTTCTTGAAGAGTTGTAGGGATGTCGCCTCCACGACTGACTGAGGGAGATCGTTCCATTTCTCCACTACCCTTTGCGTGAAAAATTAAGAACGAAGGTTCAGCCTGGACATTTTTGTCCGTAGCTTCATCGAGTGGCCACGAAGATTGGGTGAAAGGTGCCACTGAAACATGTCCTCAAAGCTAAGTCCATGCTCAAGGCCATTTATTATCTTGTAAACCAGGCTTAGATCACCTCTTTGCTGCCTGTAACACAGAGGGAATAGATAAAGGCAATTCAGTCTGTCCGTGTAGGATTGGTTTTTTAGACCGTTTACCATCTTTGTTGCCCTACGTTGCACCCGTTCGAGGCATGCTTGGTCCTTTACAAGCCATGGCCGCCATGCTTGTATGCCATATTCTAAGTGGGGCCGAACGAAGGTGCCGTAAACTCTCCCAAAAAGGTCTTGGTCAAAGGTAACGAACGCCCTTTTGATTACATGCAGCACTCCCATGGCGTTTTTTGCAGCCTTGTGGCACTGCAGTAATCTAATTGTCTCTGCTTATGAGGAGTTTATTTTCGCACTAGCCTCGGCTGTCTTCGCACCTAACCGGGACACCACGGATTGTATTTCTGTGAAGGAACTCGAAGGCACTGGCACGCCATCAGTATAGTGAAGGTTCTTAACACACGAACCACAATGTGCTGGCACTGAGGTGACAAATCTGCGCGTGCTGGAGAATTCAGCCAGCCACGTCGAGCGGTTGACGATGAGATGCTGCCCTAATGGAAACCGGGGGTGGCCTCGAAGAGGCCATTGTTGTTACCGTTTGCGCGGAGTCATGCCCTCATTTTACGACTGTGCACTTGAGTCAATCGGCGTTGCCTCAATGACACGCGATCATGCAACGTGGGCGACCAGGAATTCCGATCGACAACTAAAAGCGGGGTCGGAATTCACGCAGTACACTAGGATGGGCGTTCAAGTGTCATCGAAGCGAGAAAAGTTAATCGACGAAACACCGCCTCGACAAAAAGTGAAACTCACGTACACCTGTCCACGCGCCGCAGTACAGGCAAAATCAGCTGAGGACGGATGCAAAAACTTAAGAAAATAACAAGGAAGCCCACATCTTGGCGGACGGTCATCTGCCACCTTTCTCGAAAGCCAACGAGGCGGGAGCCATCTCAGCCTGCCGTCACGGGTGCTTTCTCTTTTTGGTCCAGAGGCCGCGGAAGGGGCCAGCCAATGCTGCTGAACGACGCATATAGTGACAATAGGTCAGTCTTTGGCGGGTGTCTTTCTGCTCCCCAGCCTCGCTGTCTTCTCATAGATCCCGATAGATAGTTGGGTGCAGTCAGTTATAGCGGAGACAGGGGCGCCCCCAAAGAGAACGACAGCTGAGGAACCGAGGCAAAATGCTTCTTCCACCGAAGCGCTGTCTGACGATGCCATCAGCACCTATATTACGGCCTCATCCTACATTCATTAAGAGCGCGTTCGAGATCTCTGGCAATTTTACCCCATAATCCGTGGCGGTCGTTGCTGCGCAGAGCACGTGATGTCACGAAGCAAGTGTATGAAATTTTGATCGCCACAAAGCTAGCACGCTTGCACTCCCAGCTAATTTAATAGTTTGACCAGAAGTCTGGTCCTTGCGACAGCAACTACAGTAGACTAACACGTCCTGAGAGGTAATTCGGAGTATTTCTCAGCTCATGATGTCTACTGATTAAGAGGCTTTGCCGGCGTCAGTGCGGCGAAGCGGTTAATGGGTAGATGGTGCCCGGACCTCTGGGTCGGCCAGTATCGTATTTCATTCCAGCTCATGTCTTTCTGTTCGGGTAGTCTGGACTATAGCCGTGCGATCGCGAGGTGGTTAGAGCTACCCTAATTGTAGCCATTGGCCCTGTGCGTGAGTCCAGGACTCAGCTATCACAACATGCTAGGACTAATATGAAGTCAACCTAAGCGTGTATGTGCCACAATTAGATTACTGATTGCTTACCAAATCCTGCTTGAGGAATCAACTACCTATATCAGAATTGGTAGATTCCGTACGTCTCATAGGCTGGGAGGGTAAGTTAACTGAAGTCGGATTAAACTCACAGCTCCCGATGGACCTCATATTTCAAGTGATTAGAGCGTTGACCGTACTCAAGCAATTCCCTTTCTGTCGTTGGTTTGAATCCCACCGCGACCGCCGACTCCCATAATTGGGTCAAATAAATTATCCAAACCTGCCAAGACATCCAATGACACGCGAAGTAGACCATCAGATGCCCAGACGCCTCCTGGGGTGCCGGGAGCAGGCTCGGCGCAACTAAATTGACAGGCCTTTTCTCATCCACGCAATGAGTAGGAGCACTTCGGAGCTCTGCCGCAATTCCGCGTCCTGGAAGCACAAGTATCCACACAGGCAAGCTTACCTAGCTGGACACGCCTAATAGCTGCCAGAGTCATTTTTTCTACGTATCTTCTGCGTCCAGCATTGGGGCGTGCACTGCGACAACTGGCGTTGATAGGAACCCCACGAAGACGTACTGGCACAATCCCCCGCGTCATCGGTTCTCAGTAAGTGAAGATTCGGCCTGGGCTTTCAGAACGGCCGTGACGTCGCATCGATCATTCGTTGCTGATAGCATTGTGAAGGTGAACCCATTTTTCGGTGTCTAGTACCTTTGGTGCTGCGCGATCCATGGTACGGCAGGCATACCTCGGAGGGACAGTGTATTACCGTTAAGTAGTTAGCCTCCGAGTTGCCAATGTTAAGAGTTTCCATATCCCGGCATGCGATGTGCAGTTCCTTCTTCCCGGTAGGTCAGCTTCCATACCTGCCATGCGGCCGTTGGTAGACATCTGGACGTCCTTATTCCTGCCTACGAATTAGCCGTAATAGGATGAAATGATTTGCTGATGGTCCATGCTTTGCATGTCACGGGACCATTATCGAACTTTGTGGTACTATAGGGTGGTTGGCTTACCAGAAATACACCGCCGCGTACTGTTAGCACAGCTGCTGCTGGTCTATGACTGCATACTTATCTGACAATTTTGACTATTTCACCTCTAGAGTTGATTGAAGGCCCCATTATCAGCCACTCGTAGACGTGTCCGATAGACGGCAGCTAAGCTAACAGGCAGGTCCTATACCTAAAGTCTAACCCTCAGACTTCCCCCGCCAGTAATCTAGAGATCGCCATCCTTCGTCATACCTTTACCCCCTTACGTCGTAGCTTTGCCAACCGGTCTTCCAATATAACCTCTCACAGAAAGCTGAGTCGTGGATAACCTAATGCCTATACGATGCTTTTGATCTGGATGAGATGATCTAGATTCCAGCGTACCTAAGCTGCTAGCGAGACAGTGTCTGTTGAACATTAGCAACAACCCCAACCCGGCGTCTGGTCCAGCCATACATACCTGCACATGCTTAAATGTCAGAATCATATAATAAGACCTCTACGGGAATTCATGCCCAGCCCTCTCCTAAACCACGACTTCATCCGTGTGAACTTAAGGCATCCCCACTTTTCTTTCTCTTTCCTGTTCGATCTATTAGTTGCAGATTCCCTAGATGTCAGATTTGGATTGTCAGGTTTAGATCAGTAACAGCCGTGGAGAAACGCTGAACTACTTATAAAAAAGTGCTACCCGCAGAAACAAACTATGTAAAGAAGCGGAAAAGTACGAATAGGTCCGTTACTGACATCGCAGTCTGGGAGGCCTGAATCCATTGAAGGGACAGTGGTTCGTCGACTGCAAAGCCATAGAATCACATCATTCCTAAAGTGAATCCTCCAAATAACACCTTATGTTAGCAGGGTGGAACAATCTGTCAACATACATCTAATGTTGGGGTCCACAAATAACGCATTTCCTAACAAATTGGCAGGTTGCCAGCGCGTCTGCTCGACCTACATTCAGCGGATTTCCCACGAGGCCATTCTAAAACAATAGTTTACCCAGCAGTACGCCGTTCTACGCGATAAATCGAGGTCATACTAACCAATACCATTCGCTTATGGAGTTCGATGACCCGCCTGGAAAATGCGACAGTGACGGCGGTCACGTCAGATGCTGGTCCTGCATAGACCAGGTTACCCAGTGACCGGAGACTACGCCGTTGCGGAGCGTGGGGTGGCGGTCACTGGACCTCCGCATTCGGCATCCGTTCCCTCGGCGGGACCGAGTCGGAGTGGCAACTTTCTCGCTTCCTTCTCGCCTTCTCAGGTCGTATCCGGACCCAAGACACGGCCTACCATTGAACAGGGCGGTCGGGTGTTTCTCCCGACTGTCTAAGGAGTTGGGCCGACTAACTCGCCTGCTTTCGCTAGAACTTCGAACTCGGTTACACCGTCTTCGTGCTGGTGTTTGGCGTAAGTGCCCACACGTCTAAATAAACTCTCCCCGACCTGCGGTGCTGGCGACGACCCCATTAACTACCCGCATAGCCGCCGCCAGTTCATGCGGTCGTATCCCTGCGTCTCTAGGTAAAAAGCGTAACCACCTGCATTCGTTCCTCCCACTTCAACCAGGTCGCCAGCCACTGCAACTGTCCCTTTCGGGTTGTCTGTCGAGATGCCAAGGACTTCCACATCCAACACGATGGAGAACCGTCAGTGCGAACCTCGAATGAGTTCAGTGCGTTCATCTTCCGTGCCTCCGGCCTCCAGGTCCACGAGCACTACAAGTAGTGGACGTCATGCACATATTGCAAACCGTGTTGTCACTCGTGTTTTGTAGGTGAAGTAACTTTTCGGGATCCTTTGAACATTTCCATAGATCCTTTTAAAAAACGTCCGAAGGGTTACTGTAAAAGCACCTGGTTTCGAAACGGGGTCGCTGCAACCGAATGCCCCCACGCTGGCCCATGCACGACCCCACTGTCGTTTGTCCTGTCAACACACGTAACATAGCCTTCCGGCACGGCCGCTCGCTTATGCTTGAGTTATGTCAATTACCCGAACCGAATGGGACACTACAGGCGGAAAATGTCACTGTAAGCAACGCTTCGGCGTGCATAGACTGGTTTTGTTTTTTTGGTGGTGCACCGCACGCCGCAAAAACTTGAGTCTCCAAATCTGGTTGCTTGGCTTGTGGACTGCGAACTTCGCGGTTGTTCGTCGTTCCTGATAGACTTCGGAATAATTTTACATGCTCGAAGTGCTTTATAGCAAATGGAAGAATTGCCTGGCAGCTCATAGCAGCGCCGTCCTACATCCGACTTGCCCATAAATGTGACCTACCACGTTGTGGGACTGTTGGTGCGTTAAAAGATAGGCTCATCATGAAAACAGTGTATTCTTGGGGGTTACAGTCTACTGCAGTAAAAAAAGTCGGACAGGATGTCAAGTTGTCACAAATTTGCACACTGCAGGTGCTTGGTCCGAGTAAAACACGAACAGTTTCTACACTAATGCAAGGAAAGATATTCCAGTTTCATTTTTGCCGTCTTTGACGCAGATGCTGGGCTTCCCGTTCCGCAATGGAATTGGCAACGTGTTCTCTCAGGACGGCTTCCTTTGAATACCACCACAAAGAACCTGCCCGTGTCGGTGCCAAGGTATCAACTTTTCGTTCAGCCACAACCAGCTCAAAAAGACGCTTTAGTTTAACCAACGCTTCAGATTTCCCCTCAGACGATGTATCTTGTGGAAGATTTTCAAAAGATATATCTGCATTACAATCGAGCTGGGCCAAAAGGTCAGCAAGCCGATTAAGTTCGACCACTTTTTGGGAGTAAAATTCTTCTTTCTTGACAACCAGAGTCCTTTTCAGCTGTGCCAGCTTAGATAGGCGGCGCTAAAATTTTAAAAGGCGTAGACGAACAGAGACACGTTAATGAGGTACTGCAGACAGTAATCATCTGAGCTGGAGGTCAACAGCATGTGGTGCTAGGGTCAATCGGAATACCTGGTAACACTCCTCTTTTGCATTCTTTTTTCTAATCTCCTGTTCTGTATCAGTCGGCAAATCGTAAGGATCAATGTGTTTCGCGCCACTAATCTGCAAAACCTCGATAGCCTTCTTGTAACCGGCCATATCCAGGGCCCTGAGTCGCCTAAGGAGCCGCATACGACGTTGGACCAGCGATTCTGTGATTCCTCTTAAAGGAAGCGACTTCAGAGATAACGAAAAAGGCGTAAACAAACCCGAGGGTATTTCTTCAAGATGGCCTTGTAGTACCTTAGTTGAAAAGACATTCTGAGGACTGGAAGATAGAGCGATAACCGAAATTACCTCTAGCAAGTAACGAGTCGTCAGCAGGATGCAGGTCAAAGCCCTTCATAAAACGGCCAAGTTGATGGGAATAATCGGCAGACTAAAGCTATATTGATAAGTAAAAATACAACCGATTCTTGAAGTCCCCAAGTGAACGCCAAAACCTGGTTAGGCGAAAGTCTTCGCAGGCAAATAACGAATAAAAGAGCTTACCTATCAAATCCTTCGAAACGCCTAACATACGGGACGATTTCCGATTTCGGAGAGGGTTCAAACTTTCTAGATTCCCCTAAACTGTGTTTCATACATCGATACGAATATCGTACAGTCAAAATTAAAGTCTGGAGGATTTTTGCGAGGCATCTTTTCGGGTTTATTCCGTTGAAGTCGGCTGTACCAATAGCCCGAGCAAGAAGCGCTCAAATCTTCACACATAAAAATGCTTTGCACTTACGCAATGCCGATTTAAAGTATAAGCACACTCTGGGAGCAGTCAGTGCACAAAAAGGTCCGGCAGACATGATGTGGTGGCCGACGACGTCGAGGATAGCATACACCGAGCCAGCGAAGCTCTGGAAATAGATCCTCACTAAAATCGATCTGAATACGGTCGTTAACGCGTCACAATAATCATTCATACAAAAGGGAAGAAGAATTAGGGTGACACAAATGTATAATAGGATTTTGTTGCCTCATCAGACGACAATGATCGGTGGGGAATGCAGGGTCGTGAGTAACTGCATGGGAGGTGCCGACCCTAGAGGGAGCAACAACGACGAGCATTGCGACGAGCTGCGGGGAGATCCGGCGGTAGAGGGAAGAGCACCAGTTATTCTCATGGACTCACAGCTATATCTGTAGCGACCGAGGACGTCAATGATAGCAGACACCGAGTCA